ACTGTAAATTACATCAATTCTGTATAGACAATGTAATCAGCACTATATAAGAATTAGTGTGTGTGTTAGCACTTTCTATGTAGGACTGGCATGGACACCCGTACTAAAAAAATACAAAAGACACCTAGACTTTCTTCTTTACAGGTCATCAGAAGCTAGGTATTGTTGCGTCTGCGAGGTCACGTGACTAGTATCACGCCACTTCTTTCTCGGAACCTTTGGGAGATTACTAGATTGGAGGTAGTCTGGTATATATATAAGATGGTCACAACGTGACGGGACATTGTGTAGGTAGTGAGTAATTGAACTGCAGTCAGAGAGTATTGTTGAAGTTGAGCATGTTCGTTGTTATAGCGCGACTGTTGAAATTAAGTGTATCGTAAAGTTGTATTCGGAAAGAATGAACCAGTTTTATTTAAGAAAGGACTTGTGTCACTAAAGTTTCGTCGGAACGAATTTACGGAAAATTAAGTAACGACTGGAGGCGTAACAGTATGAATAGCTACCTGACATTAGTCACTATATCTCTGGTGTGTATACCACTTTTCAGCTGTCCCAATGTCATAAACCAGTGAATACCCAAAACAGAGATTTCCAATTTTTGTTCATCATCAAAATTTTTGTTCTAGTAGTAACTATAATGTTGTCATCATTTGATAGAGCAAAACAGTCTTCATGACCTTTGACTACCTATTTCATTATTATTATTATTATATGTAAAATTTATAAAGCTTTAGAATACACTATATAACCTAGTAACCCACATACTCCATCTTATGAAAAAGTAAACAAACGAGTATTAGGAATAAAAATTATCATTAAGTAAACAAGAGTGAATCCTCAATAGCTGCGGCTGTAATTAGACCTGAAATTGGTCAAGAGATGGAGCTATGAGCTAGAAGCTTCTACTTGAAAAAAACAAACTCGAATCCATTCTATGAGCCACTATGCCACAGCTAAAAAGCTATGTAGGGGCTGGCTCCTGAACTTGAAAAAACGATCCAAACATGATAGGGATGGAAGTGGACATATCACTTAATCCAGCTAATTATCACATAGTAGAATAAGCCACCAGAATTTAACATGGAGAATAAATCCTAACATTACTGACTTCCTCACTGGCAAAACAAATAGAACCTGACTTTCCACTCATAAAATGTTACACTATTGTAAAATAGTCAAAAAAGTAATATTCTAAAGTTAACTAAAGAAAAGGTATAATGATGAAAGCTGAGATTTTATTCAAACAACAAGCATTCAATAAACAAGGTGGAGAAGCCAGTAATGTAGGGATTTTATTCAACATATAAAGTTGAGATGGCTTAGTCTGCTATGTGATAATTAGCTGAATCATGCAATGTCAACATCCATCCCTATCATGTTTGGTTCCTTTTTTTCAAACTCAGTAGCCAGTCTTACATAGCTTTTTTATTTAACAATAATTTGTTTACTGATATTTGTGTATAGTAAGGAATGATTTTCCTCATACTATCTATCGAACAAGACTTTAGACTGTGTGAACCACTTTTTATCACCCTTAATAAAACTTTTCCTATAATTACTGGGGCAACTATTACTTCTCTCCTAAAGTTGATTAAGATTAGTCCATTGCATCATTTAGACAATGTCAAGCCTTTTAACCCACATGTTATATGTTGCTGCAATATCCTCATTAGACCAACAGACATTATCTATGACATTGAACAACTAGAGCAAGACAATTTCATGACTTCTGACCATGAGTTGCTGCCCTTACAGCATGGAAACTAAATAATAAAGATATTTAAAAAATATCTATATCACTAAAGCAGGTATATAGCACATGATATGCCTACATATCACAATACACTTAAATAGATGTGACCCTACTCTACTACAGTTATTGATCTTGACATATTACAGAATAAGTCAATCAAACCATTACTAGTTACATCTCACCTGTATTGTAATACAGTGTACTGTTTTTGCCTCCTTGTCTAGTAAAGGTTATTGATTTACTGGAAAGTAGGAGGAAGAATACTAGAATTAGAAAGATTCCTGAAATGAAAGAATTACTTTACAGTAGAAATTTTCTTTAAGAAAAAAAGGTGAGGGGGGATAAAAGGTGATCTTACTGAAGTAGATTTTCTGGGAGATGAACAGATGTCCAGTTTTTTCCTGTATTTTTAAAACACCAGGATGAAGAACTACACATACACTGATACATAAGTTTAAACTTAGTCTTAAGTTAAAATTTGAAAGAGACTGGCTATGCTCTGATTAAAACAGTTTTATTATTTATAACTTGACTAGCTCATGGAATAAGTTATTCTTAAAACCAGTGTAGGTCAGCTATTTTAAAAAGAAAGTATAATAATGGAATAATTTATTTACTGAAATACGAAGGTTAGGCTTCAATGTTTACTTTTTCTAAAGTAAAGAATGGGTATTAAGTTTAACTTTAAAAAGTTTAATGAAAACGTTGAAGGTCGTAAGGGACTATTGTTTTCCATGTAATCTTAAATTGATCTCTAAACCTTGCGAGATAGCAAATTCTACTTTTATTTTGTTATGATTTTGTATACCGTTCGTTTACTATTCCTTCTATCGTTTAAAATAAGTGTGAATATTTAGTTATATTAAAGTTAAACTACTTACTTACCTTCTATATACAACAGGTTGATTTTGATGAAGTATGTTTGTACCATGAATCTAAAATCAGCTTCCCCTAACGGTTACATACATTTATGAATATCGTGAAAGATTAAATTATGGTAATTGTCTAACTACACAATAGAAAGCATTCTTTCATCTTAAAAAAAGAGTTAGTTCATGAGTTACAACTAGAAAACATTATTGCTCAATTTATTACTATTAATCTTGAGAAGCGGTTTAATTTTGATTTTGAAAATGAGGTTCTTCTGGTTCATTTTCCTAATTCCTTTATATATTATTATTAATTGAGATTTATGTTGAATTGTTTTTCTAATTTTTTAAATGTCCTGGCTAAGCACAAATGTACTAGATTATTGTTATAAGTAATTAGGTTATATTTAATCATTTGTTACGTCTCTGGTCGTTTCTTCATTTCCCGTAAAAAAATTTTTACGATGAACTTCAGCGATACAAGTCCTTTCCTAAATAAACTAGTTTATTTTTTCTCAATACAACCTTGCAATACACTTAATTTCCACAGTTACTTTAACTTCAACACACGCTATAGTTCACAACGATTCACGCACTTTGCTTACGACATGAGTCGATTATCCGTCTCTATATCTCCCTGTCTGCAATTTATTAAATTATATCGCTTTATTTGCCGTGCTTATATACAAGAATAGAGGGCGTCTTGAATGCACTCGACTCTTCAAGAACCTGCTAGACACTTATCACGTGTTACCAGCGTCACGTGAACTCCGCTGTCGTAACACTGTCCCTTCCTTAGTATTGTTCGTCCCGAACAATAGCCACTAACATTAAACCAATAGATAATTAACAATAATTTAATTAAATGTGCAGAATTTACAAACACAAAATTAAAATTCAACAAAGTCTCTAATTTTACGGGACTTATCTCCTTCCGTACTGGTCTCCGTCTCGTTGGCTTTTGCTTCATGTGGGGTTCATCTGCTCCATCAGGAAATATCCTATTATCGGTAACAGTCACGTCAGTGGTAGTAACTTCATCAAGGGCTTCACTGTTTCCCTTCTCAGAACGAGGTAGAGTTTCTTCTTCGACAGTGGCTTCCATCCATCCTTTCAAATAACACTTTCACGAACTCTGGGACATTTTCAGGCAACTCTTCGTAAGGTGGGCATCCTGTTATTAGATCCACTGGCAAACGAAGTTCCCGACCAAACATCAGCTTCGCTCGAGTGTATCCAGTGGCTTCATGCTCTGCTGTTCTATAGGCAATCAACAGTGGAGGGAGTAAGACATCCCAGTCATCTTGGTGGCTATTAAAACATTTTGCCAATTCCTGTCCAATTGTCCAATTGTACTTTTCTACCATACCGTCAGAATGTGGGTGAAGTGGCATTGTCCTGGTCTTTCGTATGCCAAACAACTTGCAGCATTCATGGAACACAGCTCATTCAAACTTAGGGCCTTAATCCGAATGCAGTTCCTATTGTTGCGTCAGCGAGGTCACGTGACTAGTATCACGCCACCTCTTTCTAGAAATATCCTGTTCCATCAAGAATGCCCTTGCATTTACTAGATATGTGTTAGTCTTGTATATACAAGGCGTTCACAACGTGACGGAACAACAAGGTAATGAGTAATTGAACTCCAGTCAGAGAGAATATTGTTAAGCACGTGAGAAGTTCGTTGAGAATTATAGCGCGACTGTTGAAATTAAGTGTATTGCAAAGTTATATTCAGAAAGAATAAACCAGTTTTATTTAAGAAAGGACTTGTGTCGCTAATGTTTCGTCGGAACGAAGTTACGGAAAATTAACTAACGACTGGAGGCGTAACAAACTGGTGTCAGAGAGTGGGATAAAAAAAAGGAAACGAGAAGCGGCAAATCAAACTACAGCCTAGCGACTTAATGGCAGCAATACAAGAACAGCAAAAGAAACAGCAAGAATGAGAAGAGAAATTACAACAGTTGTTAGAGGAAAAAGAAAAGAAACAGGAAGAACGAGAAAATAAACAAGAAGAACGAGAAAATAAACAAGAAAAGAAACAAGAAGAGAGATTATAGCAGGTCGTCAAGTAGTACCTATAACAGTGGCAAATTTCTCTAAATGTGAGCAGGCACTTAAGGAAGGGGCATTGTTGGGTGTGTGCCAAGAGGTACAGCCAGTCAATGTTAAAGCAAGGAATACACCTGTAAAAAAAGGACATACACTTCCAGAATATTTGACTGACCTCTATAAG